GTCAACAAATCCTCAGATCCAGATCATTGTCGCCATGTTATTGTGAGAGACGAGGGAGGAAATTACAGGGGCCCTGACCCAAATGTTTACATCATCTCTGGCCACAGGGGAGGTGCCAGTGGACTGGAGGACAGCTAATGTTCCACGTTACAAGAAGTTAAAGATAGACCAGGAAATTCTCAACCAATGAGTTGTAGAGAAACCATTGCAGAAAACAGTGAAGTAGAAAATTAATTCCACAGAGTCAAGGTTTCATCAGGAATAGACAGCATGTCTTTGTCAGAAGGAAGTCACACCTAACAAAACTGGTCAAATTCTTCAAGCAGTATTTGGATGAGGGTAGGGCAGTAGATGTCGTTCATTTGGATTCCAGCAAGGCTTTTGACAAGGTCTCACACAGGAAACTGATAAAGAAGGTAAAAGCTCATGGGAGCAAGGCTAGCTTAGTAAGCTGAATGCAAAATTGACTCAGTGACAGGAGACAGAGGGTAGTGGTAGAAAGCCGTTTGTGTGACTGGAGTCCAGTGTACAATGCTGTACTATTGTTTTTTTTTATTTATTCATTTGTGGGATGTGGGCATCATTTGCTGGCCAGCATTTATTGCCCATTCCTAGCTGCCCTTAAGAAGGTGGTGGTGAGCTGCCTTCTTGAACTGCTATGGTCCACTTGCGGTGGGTTGACCAACAATGTGATTAGGGAGGGAATTCCAGGGTTTTGACCCAGCGACAGTGAAGCAGTGGCGATATATTTTGAAATCAGGACGATGAGTGGGTTGGTTGGGAACATGAAGGTGGTGGTGGTGTTCTCATGTATCTACTGCCTTTGTCCTTCTAGATGGAAGTGGTCATGTGTTTAGAAATTGCTGTTTGTGGATTCTTGGTGAATTTCTGCAGTACATCTTGTAGATAGTTCACACTGATGCAACGTAACAGTCAGTGGTGGAGGGAATGGATGCTTGTGGACGTAACCAGTCAAGCAGGTTGCTTTGTCCTGGATGGTGTCAAGTTTCCTCGAGTGTTGTTGGGGCTGCACTCTTCCAGACAAGTGGGGAATATTCAATCACACTCCTGACTTGCACCTTGTAAATGGTGGATAGGCTTTGGGGAGTCAGGAGGTGAATTACCCGCTGCAGTATTCATAGCCTCTGACCTGCTCTTGTTGCCACTGTGTTTATGTGGTGAGTCCAGTTGAGTTTCTGGTAAATGATAACCCCCAGGATGTTGTTACTGGGGAAGATGAGGCAACAATGGCTGACAAGGTAAGTCAGGGTCATCATCAAAGCAAATGAGAAAGCATATAATCAGCAAAAGACAGTAGGAAGCCAGAGGATCGGTAAGCCTATAAAGACCAACAGAAGACAACAAAAAAAGGGAGAAGATTAAATATGAGGGTAATGTAGCCAGTATTATAAAAGAAGATTGCAGAAGTTTCTTTAAATAGATAAAGGGCAAAAGAGTGGAATAAGTGGACATTGGGTCACTGGAGATATAGTAATGGGGAACAAAGAAATAGCTGAGGAACTGAGTAGTATTTTGTATCAGTCTTCACAGTGGAAGACACAAGTAATATCCCAAAAATTCAAGAGAGTCAGGGGGCAGAAGTCAGTATGATGGCCATCACCAAGAAGAAGGTGCTAGAAAAACTGAAAGGTCTGAAGGTAGATAAGTCACCTAGACCAGATGGGCTACATCCCAAAGTACTGAAGGAGATAGCGGAAGCATTAGTGATGATCTTTCAAGAATCACTGGAGTCAGAAAGGGTACCAGAGGACTGGAAAATCACTAATGTAACCCCCCTGTATAAGAAGGGAGTAAGGAAAAGACAGGAAATTATAGGCCGATTAGCCTGACCTCTGTCGTTGGTAAAATTTGAGTCACTGTGAAGAATGAGATTTCTGAATACTTCGAAGTGCATGGCAAAACAGGGCAAAGTCAGCATGGATTCATCAAGGGGAGGTCATGCCTGACAAATCTGTTAGAATTCTTTGAGGAGGTAATGACCAGGTTAGATCAAGGCGAGCTAATGACACCTGGACTTCCAGAAGGCCTTTGACAAGGTGCCACACAGGAGGCTGCTGAGTCAGATAAGGGCCCATAGTGTTAAAGGCAAGGTAGTTGCACAGACAAAACATTGGCTGTCTAGCAGAAAGCAGAGAGTGGGGATATAAGGGTCTTTGTCAGGATGGCAGCTAATGATTGGTGGTGTTCCACAAGGGTCAGTGTTGGGACCACAACTTTTCACTTTATACATTGATGATCTAGGTGAAGGAATTGAGGGCATCCTGGCTAAGTTTGCAGATGATACAAAGATAGGTGGAGGAACAGATAGTATTGAGGCAGCAGGGAGGCTGCAGAAGGATTTAAGACAGCTTAGGAGAGTGGACAAAGAAGTGGCAGATGGAATACAACATAGGAAAGTGTGAGGTCATGCACTTTGGTAGGAAGAGACACAGTCTACTTTCTAAATGGGGAGAAAATTCAAAAATCTGAAGTGCAAAAGGGACTGGAGAGTCCTAGTCCAGGATTCCCTTAAGGTGAACTTTCAGGTTCAGTCAGTAGTTAGGAAAGCAAAATGCAAAGTTGGCATTTATTTCAAGACAACTGGAATATAAAAGCAGGGATGGACTTTAGAGTATCATGAGCAATTTTGGGCTCCAAGTACTGGCCCTGGAGCAGGTCCAGAAGACGTTCACGAGAACGATACTAGGAATGAAAGGCTTAGCATATGAGGAACATTTGTGAACTCAGAGTCCATACTCAATGGAGTTTAGAAGGATGAGGGGGGACCTAATTGAAACTTACAGAATACTGAATGGCCTGGACAGAGTGGATGTTGGGAAGATGCTTCCATTGGCAGGAGAGACTAGGACTGGAGGTACAGCCTTGAAGTAAAGGGAAGACCCTTTAAAAACAGAGATAAGGAGAAACTTCTTCAGCCTGAGTGGTGGATCTGTGGAATTTGTTGCCAGAGAAGGCTGTGGAGGCCAGGTCATTGAGTACATTTAAGACAGAGACAGACAGGTTCTTGATTGTCGAGGGGAAATCAAGGGTTATGAGAGTTATGGGAAAGGGCATGAAAACAGGGTTGAGAAACTTATCAGCCATTATTGAATGATGGAGCAGATTCAATGGCCGAGTGGTCTAATTTCTGCTCCTAATGTCTTACGGCCTAATTATATTAAATTGCATCGCCTATAAATCTTCCCATTTCATCATCCCCAAAGGCTGTGCCTATCCAGACCATTACTACATGGTGATATAAAATTTAACATTCAAAACTTCTAAGTTACTGTAAGTCCAAGTCTCTAATAATTTTGATTGCCAATGTTAGTTTGACTGGCCTACAATTTCTTAGTTAATGCTTTGCCTATTTTATTACTGGTAAAGCATTATTAACCTTTTTCCATTACAGCAGCACTGCTCTTGTATCTAACCAAGGATTTAAAGATTGCATTAATATCTCTGGTATCATATATCCAAGGCAGGTGACTCTCAAACTTATGGAAATGAATCTTTTCAGGATATCTTGACCATTATGCCCATAGTTTGCAGCTCTTGGTGAATGATGTGAACATCTACATATTTGGGAAGACAAATGCTAAGTACTCATTTAGTACTATACCCACCATAAAATGACTTATGATCTCAAACAGACCCAGATTTATCCCCGGTTAACTACTCAGGGTTTATTATATTGCAATGATTCAATTGAAACTGTCCCAACAATTGTACGTGATGGGGAGGTTGCCATGCCAATTACAAAATCATTCCCCCCCACCCAGAGTACAATGCGAGGTTCAGAGTTGTGCAGCTTGTGAAAAGACACAATAACCAGAATGACTGAAGTGGCATATTCCATGATGATATATTCATATTTTGAGATTGAAAGGCAACAAGATTGTTGTTTTCAGGATTTGTTATGGGCTAGATGGCTTGTCATAGTCTGCACTATTTCACCTCATCTAATGCTGAGCAACTAGTGGATGTTAAATTTTAAACTACGGTCTCAAAGCTTTCCCCTCCTCTCAGGGCCTCATTAGACTAATGATTGATTGGTTGCTAAGATTTAGACAACCATTTCACAATCATTGTTTTGCACGAGGATCAAGGTAGTACAAAGCAGACTAAATGGGCCTTGGGTTTTTGTTTTGGTTTAAAAAGTTGCTTCAGATGAGAAAATACATATCAGTTAAAATTCCACATATTAATTCACTGACAATGGTACTTTATTTCCCTGCTTTCCATTTGTGCAGAAAATAGAGGCACTTTGAGTATGAAGGGACTAAGAATAGCAACTGCATATTAGGAAACAGTGTTCAACATGGAGACTTTGAGTAGTAGATTTAGCAAAAGTCCAAAAGCAATAGCTGGTCAGCCATATATCTTTATTTTCAAGTCTAACCAGCACAGATAAATCCATGAAGTCGAAAGGAAATTCAAATTCAAATCTCACCATTCCAACCAGAATGTGTCTTTTCTTCAGAGAAGTTTCTCCTTAAATGCTCCAATTCAATTTTTTGGATTCTTGACATCAGGTTAAGTGGAATAAGCTGAGCAATGGAGTTTAGTGAATATCATTTCTGTATTAAAAACCTTGATAGTTGAATTAAGTTGTCAAAAACAGTCCTTGAAGTTTGAGCTCTCATTTCCATTTAGCTGTATTTGGGGCATTTGACCTAAGGTTGGATAAAACAGATACCCCTCAGCTTTTAGGAACAGGCATGACCCAATGGTTTTGTCTCAATCATTATTTGAATTGATTGACGATTGGTGCACAAATTCTTGAAATACTGCACCTCCCTTTCCTTTAAAAGGAAGGATGAAAATTTAGTTTAGAATTAATTTAGAAAAATTTTATTCTTCAGTTGTGAAATTCAAGATGTTACTGGATATCACATTGTGACCTTTGTTTTTTTTTAAAAAAGTGTAGATTTACCCCAAATAGCATTCCACTTCCAATAACAGTAAACTGACTTGACATAAATCAAAACACACTAAGGTTAAAGGGAATAGAATTTTATTGACAAAAAAAGAAATATTTGCAATCATGTTCTTTTCTCCCAGTTCCCTCAAACATCCCACAAAATCCAGCAGAAATTCAATAGTAAATAGACATAGTAACACACTGGTATGTAATGAGACTGGTTATTGGAAGAGACATTTCAACCGAGTGCATCTTAAAACAAGCTTTCAAACAAAGAAAAACTGACATTATCCCCCAGACTAGACATTTATTTGCACCTCAATGTCTACTCATTTTAAAAAATCATTTTCCCTATCGCTTTGACATGCAATATCTGACAAATGCATTTTCACATTATTTTCTTAAACCCTGTAAATAAAGTAAAGTAGAAATAGAATTGAGAGTGTTGGGTAAACTCAATCTCATGTCTGGCAATCAACCCAAAAATGTTAACACCCTGCAGATGCTGCCAGACCTGCTCAGCATTTCCTGATTTTATTTTAGGTGTTTTGCATCTACAGAATTCAGGCAATTCCCAACACACTCCTCTCCTTTTATATTGCTGGTTAATAAGATTGGTGTTTGTATTTTAAAGGTCAATTTGTAAGTGTTTTATAGTTTTGCTCAGATTCAGAAGACGTGTATTCAAGTTATTAACATCATTTTTTTTAAAAAAATGGACACCAAATAATCTTCAAAATAGCCTGAATGGTTTTCATAATTCTTCACCAAGTTTAATTGATCTTACCAAGATTTGCAGAGGCTTACTGGAATACAGGTATGCAATTTTAAAATTTCTACCACCCTAAAGGTTAATTCCAAATATATATTAAAGAAGAGATCAAGAGAGCTTTTAAAATCACTGTTGTTGCATGGATAAAGATAAAGATACAGTACCTTTGAGGGCTTGGTTGTTGGTATGTACAAGAAATATTGTTTGCTATGTGTCTTTTTATGAATGGACCCTTCACCCCTCTCCTGTAACAAATACATACAAGTGTTGCCCTACATCCTTAGGAAACTGCAGAATAGGAGCAGCAGCCTGAGTGACCTCCATGCATTATAGTGCAGAATTTAAGTTTCAGCAAGGCCATAAATCTGTAGCATTCAGTGCAGACCTCCTATTATTCGTAGTGTCTGTTCTTTGCAGAGGTAGCAACCCAAACTCAGACTTGCCAGCAAATCATTTCTCTGGAAAATACATTCACTTCTTCCTACTGCCACCAAGTTTTTCATGCAAGCAGCACAACAAAAAAAATTAATTCAAAAGCAAGGTTTGCAGTACTCCCAAATTCCACATCAATATTAGCTAGCAATCCAGCACATTTCCCTGCTTCCCATCACAAGTTAGAAAAAGGGCCTTTAAATAGCATCATGGTACTAATGTTTGGACAGCTAAATTACATGTTGCAATATAATTTCAAGCCTATAAGTATTACTGGCAACATTCCAAACTAGAACCATTCATCTATAATAAAATACTTTCACAATTATTTATAATACCAGTTCAGATCAGACCCTAACCCTTCTGTATTATAAAAAGGCACATGGTGAGGAAACTGCTCCCACTCAACAACTTACACACAGGCACACATCAGCTTGATTGGTCAATCCTCATGAAGATTATCGCTTTGTATTTGTTTGATTAGACAGCCAGTGAAGACCTTCATAAAGGCCCTCACCAGTAGTAGCACAGGTTGCTTGGATGTGCCATGATCTGTGATGGAGTTGGTGCAGATTCAACTTATCTGTGATCTCTGCAGGTGTCATTGCGTTCGGCAAATCCTGCAAGAAGAATTAAATTTTAAAATGGAACACTCAGGATTGCTTTCTGTAAAGCTGGTCATTTGCTTTGGCTTCAATCATCTCATGATTCAATATCATACTTCTCCAGCATCTGATTTTATGTCATCTATTTCAAGGAAAGTGAGCCTGCTCCTGCCAGTCAGGTGTGGGGGGGCAGGGTGGTGGTGGTGGTGGTGGTGGTGTCACTAATTTACTCAAAGCCTCACCTCTGCCAAGTCAGGAACGAAGCCAGTTGGAGAACTCAAATGCTAATTCAGCTGAGATTTGACCCAGGGATGAGCTTGCAACTTCATATTTGGACTACAACACTATTTTTGTCGCTGCAATACCACTTAGTTTAATTGCTGCTGAAATACTCACTCTTTAAAAAAGTTCTTGTCTTGACTATTCCAAAGCAGTTATTTCACATTCTACTCTCCATAACTGTCATTCAAAATTCAGCTACCTCTGCCCTCACTTGCAACAAGTCCTACTTGCATATTGCTTAGATTTGGTATTAAGTACTGAAGCAGGAATACCTAATGTTATAGTAAAAAGATCCACTAGGCAACAGTGATCCTAACAAAATTCTTGTTAAGCTCGAAAGTGGCATACTTCAACCACATACAAAGAATATAAAACTTGAAAAAGTGAGAACTGGCTAAGGTTACAAGGTGTAGAGCTGGATGAACACAGCAGGCCAAGCAGCATCAGAGGAGCAGGAAGGCTGACGTTTCGGGCCTAGACCCTTCTACAGAAGAAGG